GAGAAACTTCCAACTACATATATTTAGTAATGGCTTTTAATGGCTACTTTTGAGCAAAGAGCGACATGGCAGAGGAAAACAAGCCAGTGGAAAAATGAAATGAAAGATAAATAGCATGTTTGTGATGAGGAGAGCAGCAGACAATTAGGGAAAGGAAAAAAGATTACTGTAGCTGGGGAGAGGGGTAATGAGACAGTCAAGAGAGTGCAGGCCAGACATAGTATGACACAGAGAAACTGACAGAGCTTGAGACAAAAGTGAGAGTTTGACCTTTCCCTAACCAACAACAAACATTAACCAATCAGCGTCGGAATTGACCTGTTTCTCGCTCATGCCATTTCCCCTGACAACCTTAAATGACAGGTCTCCCTGTCTCTCTCTACATGACTCATGCAGGATTTTCTCATCTTCTTTAAGAAGCTATAGCTTTGGGATCTACAATTCATTCACCTTCCTGTCTCTCTCTCCATCTTTTGTCTTTCTTTCTGTGCATTTGCTTCTTCTCGCCTCTTCTCTGTCTGACAGGGACAGATTGAAAAGTAGCAGCACTGGTTAAGAAGTGAATGAATTGTCACATCCCAACACCCTGCTCTTTGCCTTTGGCCAAATACTGACAAATGCTCTGTGGAAAAGATGTTTTTTTCCCTCTCCCTTTTTCCCCCCTCTGTGCCATCACTCCAACAAGCGCACACATGTCGGCTTTTTCAAACACTACCTTTGGCAGTTCTTTGGTAATATCTAGGACACAGGAAAACACACCCATTTTTAAGCTTCTTCAAGCTCACTGCCTTTGCATGCCATGCCTTGCTCATTTTTGTGTCTCTGTCTATGTCAAGTTCAAGGTTAGCTGCTCATTGTATTGAGCACCAATGCTCCCCCATCGGGATGAACAGAGGGGAGATGCATTAGCACCTCGGCAGGTGGCCCTCAATCTCATCTCTTCCCTCTCTTTTCTTTCCACACCACCCTCTCGTCCCAAAGTCCACCTCTCTATCCACAGCCCCATGGAGGTACCTGGCCAGCCTTTGTCCAGCAGTGTGTACGTGGGCTGATGTGTGCACTGATGCATGCATGTGTGCTTATCTCAATGCATGCAATCGTGTGCAGTGAGTATCATGTATGTGCCAGCATAGACGTGTACCTCTCATGCTAATGTGTAGCATGACCAGATGACCATAAACTAAACCAAAGCCTGCAGGGGGGTTACGGCTTTCCCCTTGACCTACTGCGGTGCACTGACCTGCAGTAAATGGGTTTAAACCTTACCCAGGCACATCCTTTTATCTCCATCACATCTCCATCTCCTCCTTAAGCCACAGACCAACGCACACACAAACTGACCAACAGACAGGCTGACAGAAGCCATATGGTCCATTCACTTCCAATGGCAGGAGGTAGCCATCAAAGAGCTCTCACAGCAGCTCCACTCAGCCATAGACAGATAGACCAAGGGAGGGAGAGACATGAAGGGAAAAGGAAGAGGGAAATTATGAGGAGAGGGCAAATAGAGGTAGAGAATGGGAGGGGAAGCAGAGAAATAAGAGGAGAAAGAGGTGGGAAGTGTGGTGAAGAGTACAGAGGAAGAGACATTCTAACAATTCCGAGCCAGAAGTGAGGTGGAAATGGAAAGAGTTAGGGGAAGGCATGGAGGTGTACAGATCATATAAGCCCTGTGTGAAACAGTAAAGGCCAAACATGGCTGTAGCTGTGAGCATGTGCAGAATTCTTTTCTTTTCCATTTGACAGCACTGCCTGTTTTATGCTGACAGGAGAGTGTTACGAAACTCAGCTTAGACTGTGTCAATACGGCCTTTACACAGCACTGCCACTCAGCACCAGACATGTGAGGCAAGGGTTCGTTGCTGTGCTTGTGTTTCACCCTAGGCACGTGGTATTGTACTTCTAATGTTGTGAGGCTGGTCCTTACTTCATCAAAAACTGTTTGAGAGTCAAGACTTGCTTTTGGGGTTAAGGTTAATATATAACCTTAATAAGTTCAATATAAAGAGATCTTTTCTCTCATAGTTTGCCTTTATTCTTCTATTGTTGAATTTTTGCTGTCTCTTTCCGATCCAGCCTTACTTCCCAGACTCTGTCACTCCTGCTTTCCCACGCCTTCATAATCATCTTTCTGTTCATGTTTCAAACTCACTACACATCCTAATATATCCCCCCAACCACAATGATCTCAAGATATTTCCACCAGCACCACTTCTGTCTAGACTCCAGGGAAACCTGTCCTATCTTCTTTATTCGTGGGCAAACATTACATTAAGATACATAACCAGAATGGGGCCTAATCGCCCAAGTCTTTCTCTCTTGCCATCTCAGATGCTGTAATACATCTCCAACTGATCTCCACTTTAGGTTGAAGTTAAGGTAAGGGTTGGGGTTAAGTATGCAGTTGCGTTAGTTAAGGATAGGTTTAAGGGCTAGAGAGTACATTATGTTAATGACGATCCATCAGTATACTACCATGTCTGTACTCTGATCCACAGGCCTCACGTTATACTAGCAAAATTTTACTCTAACTGCCATTACATAAAACTATTTCACAAGCAAATTGAATTTAATTCACTCAGCTTCCTGCCCAACTCAACTTCATGATGTCATAAATGTAAGCCTGTAAACACTAACATCCAGCTCACCCAAACACCATTGCATTAAAGTCCATCCGCTCTTTTACCGTAATGCTTATATTTATTCAGGATGGTGTGTTAGTCACAGGAACATAAATAACAGTGAAAAAAAACAGAAAGAGTGAAAGAGAGTGTGTGAGAGCAGATCTGAGAGAAAGGAAGAGGAGGGGGTTGAGGGATGGAACAAGTAAGGTGGAGGAGTGTATATAAATCAACATCCATTAGCTGAGGGGTTATAAAGTCACTGATGAAGGAGGTGGACTAAAGCTCAGACCTTTTATTGTCTTGTTGTTGTCTTTTATTGCCTGTGATGTCATCTAATGGTATACAGTTAACGACAGGGGAGTAGAAGTATGTACATGGGAGGGGAGGATGGGGCTGTAATGGGGCTGTGTGCAAGTGTGTACGCCTGTGTTGACACAGGATATTGATCACCTTTTGTCAAAGATGGCGTGTGGTGTGTGTGTGGGCTTCCTTTGTCTGAATATACCATATGTGCACAATCTGATCTTCATTCATGTCGAGTTTGAATGAGAATAATGCCAAAATCCTGAACATGCAAATCTTTCAAGTGCCAATATGTGGTTTTGAGAGGGATGTCTGGAGAGAGGCCAAGGGAAAGAAGAAGAAAAGCATGACGATAACCAGGACCAGAATTTGTTTGTAACATCCTGAAGCAAAAACAATATTCAGGAAACAGTGAAAACAGCTTGTAACACTTGAGCACTCGATGTCACTAAATTTCCCCTACCTAACTCGTTCTCATCATCATAGATAAGCAGTAGGCATTAAATATGATTACATATTTCCCCCTGCCTACGTGTTGGTTATTGTCACACAACATGGAAAACCACTGCCTCAACCACTCTGCTCCTGTGCAGAACCAAAACAGCAACAACAAGCACAGGGACGTTGGTTGCTTGTTCCGGCCTTCATTTAAATTTCTCCACTCTGTCTTCCATCTCTGTCCCTTCATCTGTCTACATACAACTCATTGAGACAGGGATGTCAGCTATATATTCCATCTCTGTCCAGTCTCTCCCTTTCACCTCAACTCTCCTCTGCTTCCCTAAGTTACTCCATCCTGCTCTCTTTCCTCCTCTCTGTGTAATGCTGTTTTCCCCAAGCCTGTGAGGCTCAATGGCCTGGCCACCCCAGAATTAGTCTCAGTCATGGCCCTACAATATATATATGTGTGTACATGTGTGTATGTGTGTGTGTGTGGGTGTGAAAAAGGGGGGGGGGGGTTAAAAGCACAGGAGCTACCACCCTTGTATCACACCTAGTAGCAGTGCATCATCCCATTAGCCCAGAAAAGGGTTGCCACACAGGGGGAGGGCACAGGAGCATGAGGGGAATCTAAGGTGGAAGCCACAACACACCAAAACCCAGCTTATCCAGTGCTGTTTAACTGTGAGGGGACAAATCTTGTTTAGCCAAGGGCTCTGCTGTCACATAGAGTGTGACATGTTTTTCAAGGGAGAGAGAGTTATGGTCAGAGATGTTCACAAATGCTACAGCTAACACAATTCCACAGGAGCTTCAAAGCCGGCATAGCCCAGTTTTGTTTCCCCTAATGACTAATAATGTGATAATAATCTAGGTTAGTATACAAAATTAGTAAACAAAAATGTCAAACAAATGTGACTTAAAGCCTCTTGTACTGATCCAGTACATAATGCAGTTACATCACTTAATAAATGATGTATTTCATCCCATTCTGATCCTTCAATTTGCCTCAAGAAACAGATAAAAAAACTTTGCCTAATCGATTCTGCAACATGCTGATCTGTGCTGTCTAGCAAGTTCTGCAACATGCTGATGTGTGCTACAATCTGCCCCCAGGGCTCTGGATATCATACGAGTCCAAAGTGAAGGAAAAGTACAGTGGATACTCCTGATACTGGGTGTATACGAGTGTATGTGTGATATATGGTGCAGTGGATGAGGAGGATGTTGAGAGATATCAGATAGGCTTGGCTCTAGGAATAAAACCCCCTTAGGGGCTCTCCTGATCCCCCTTCCTCAAACTCACACACACACACATACACACACACACATATACACACACACACACACACACACACACACACACACACACACACACACACACACACATTGAAATTCTCTCCACAGTGAAGTACACACACTTCCTTTCACTCTCCCTCACTTTCATGCACACATACACCTCTGCCTCTTGCAAATACGGCCGACTCAGCTGATTTGCCTGAAAGTCAATCTGCCTTACTACTACCATCCTTCCTCCAATCCAGCAGTCCCCAATTCCCAGCCCTTACTCCACATTCTAACTGAGGGAAACCAAATCTCTGCTAGCCTTCATCCTATATTCCTCCTCCTTACCTTCTTGACTCGGCCACTTTTTGTGCCCACGAAGACGAGCGAGTGGTTCTTGTAGACGTAGGCAATGACGGAGGTCATTTTGTCGACAGCGTCAGAGAAGACAGGCTTGCCACGCACCATCTCAGACACACCCAATGGTGCGTTCATGTCGAGGCCACAAAAGTCATCATCGATGGTCAAGAGCTGCAGTGCAGAAGAAGAAGAAGAAGAGCGGTTAGTTGAACACAAATCAGACCCAGTTTTCATGAACACTAGGCTTAAAAATGCTTTCAAAAGCATGTTCAAGGTGAAAGGCAATGCTTGAGCAAACACTTAAGCGTGACTTCTTTTCAATTTTTGAAAAGAGCTGTACACCACACAGGGAGAAAGGTTTCAGTGCATTTCCGTACTGAGCATGCAATTCCAGATAAAAGTACAACTGAGCTCAAGATTAATAAAAAATACAAATCAATACCTTGTGTCTGAGTGTGTGAGTGTTTCCACAAGGGACAGATATCGATATGGGGAGAACAAAGGGGAAGGATTTTGTATGTGAGTGACAGAAAGTGTGAACATTTGTATGCATGTGTGCATCTGCTGGTCCACATGCAAGAAAATGTGGAAACAACTAAGAGAGATGAAGATGGAAGAAGACTGCAGTCAGGCTCTAGCTAGTAATAGCGCCAGAGGCTGCTCTGTCAGGCACAATTCCCCACTGTCCACCCAATGCAACAGCAACTGCAGAAATGCCTGTGCCGCAAGATATTCACTGTGAAATGATTCAAAGTGAACTGGGTGAATAAAAAAAATAGTGCTACACCGTCACACAGCTCTGAGGCAAATCACCGCTATGCATCTAAATATACAAGTATTAAAAAAAACAGATTGAGAATAAGGAGAATTAGAACTCTTGATGGGGGATCATCTGTTATGCTTTCTATGAGGACACGCTACTGTGATTTTGTGATTATATACAGATGGGTGTGTTTCATGTTTTGTGCCTCTCTACAGTTTGTGTTTTGCATGCATGTGTTTTATCCTGCAGGGGGGATATTCATACCAGTCACTGTGGGCAGAATGACTTATGGGTTTTGATAAGAGAATAATGGTGCTGGGGATTGGTCATTATTCTGTGTGTATAGATGGATTTGAAACACTGGGTTTAGGACTGAAGCAAGCACTGCTTGATTAATAGCTTCGCAATGTGGTGGGTTGCTGTGAGGAAAAAATGCCTTGGCAGTTGACACAAAGCTTTTTCAAAATGCAGAGCAAACATCAGTAGTTAGATGAAATAGTGGGTGTGAGGTATGAAATCCACATGCTACTGTGATGACTTGATGAAAAGCGATTCGTTGTGGACCAATTTGAATGTTGAATGTTTGAAATGAAACCCTTGTAATACATTATGAACAGCCGTGTTTCACTCATAAACCTTTTGCAGCGTCGGCCAGCCGATGAAAAATTATTGCCGCTGCTGCAATGTCATGAAGTTGCAATTACAACTCTGCAGAGGGCTTTTAATTTGAAACAACAGATAAAATAGAGACACATGGCAACACCCGGCCAAGGTGAGGGAGAAAGAGAAAGACAAGAAAAAGAAAGAAGCTAGAAGATTCAACTAACATTAAGTTGGATAGATATGACGCACACCACCCTTCATAGTTGGAGTGGCCATCGGGCATACCAAGACAAATCCCTGTCAGCTGCTCAATCAGTGGACTGTCCATAAATCTCTAAAGTTTTTACGGGCTCTGTTGTGTCGTTTGTCAATCGGCCCCCTCTGTGTGCCTGTCATTCAGGGTGTCACTCAACCGACACGGTTGTGTAGTGCTGCTAGACCGCAACGTCACTTTTTTTCCTCCAATTCAGGAAATCGAATATTTGCACATAATCACATAATGCATTTAAAATTCATACACATATTTATAAGAGCTTGAAGATCCGATCATCATTAACACGTATGTCATGCAAGAGAGCCAATAAAAACATGGAATGGTCAAAGTTAAGGTGTATTGATTGATTCACAATGTCAACTCATGCACTGAGCAACACGCAAGAAAAAACATTCCACCCCTAAAAAGTTGCCAGTAGCTTTTGAGTGGCACAGTGAATGAAATTATGTTTTCTACCTTGCTATGTTTAACTAGTAAAAGATAAAAAGGCAGAAAAACATCCTTTCATTCATCATTCTCTCTTCTGATGGTTTCTTTATTTGTGATGCATTTGTAAAGAAACATTATAAAGCTGGCCTATTACACTTGGACAGCTTGTGCTGCATCCACAGTGCCTGCTGGTAATGAAAGATTGCTCGTAATATTCGCAAAATGATGAAACTATTCATAAGGTCAGGTTAACATTTTATCTTATAGTCTGTTATAATTGACTAATGTATGTAAACTTGCCACCATAGACACAATTCTGGCGTCAGTACTTAAACAAATGTTGAAATCCAGCCAAAAACTCTAAGCTTCAGAAGGAAAAGGTGAAAAAACTATTTCAAATCTACAACTACTAAGTGGTTTGAGCTGTCAGAGGCTGGATGCTCCGGGGGGCAGAGGGTCTTTTAGTTTATGTCTTATTTTCCGTTTTTCTTCCTGCAAGTGTACCCCCTGGACTCTTGATCAATCTTGCAAGCACCAAATGTCTCCTCACAACCTTTCACTAAAGGCCATCATCATCAGAAGCCTCTGACTGAGCTGCAGAAGAAATATGGGGTCTGCTTTCATTAGACAAATGGAACATGGCTGGTGTAGGCTACAGTGAGCCTTAAGCTATAACATGGGGTTATATGGAGTGGTATGAATGATCAATAATTTGGGTCAAGATCATGTCGTGGTTAGAGGGTTGAGATGAGGATGAAAAGGAACAGCAACAAATGGATTAGGGAGAGAGACAGAGTAAACAAAGGTGAATATATGTGTGCACAACATAAACATATTTAAGTGGACAATGTTTCCTCTGATTTCCCTACCGTCTCCTTTTCTTCCCCCTCGACCTTCTCAGAATGAGCTGCGGTCAAGAATGCACTCTCTGTCCTACAAGTCATGTTGTGGCTCGCTGTTAGACTGATGGTGCTCTCATGAGAATCAGGGTCACTCCGTGAAAATCAAAGTGAAATATCACTCTGCTCTGCAGGGTTACTCTTCATGCTAACCAGCCCCTCCTCTCTAACACAATGATTCATAATCAAGGCAGTTCCTCAAGCCACTACTTATCTCCACTAGCATCCGCTTGCTATTTATTTTTTCCAATCACCAGTAAAGCTGTTTTTCTATGCATTCATTCATAATCCTTGTTTTTGTGACAGAAAGAAACACCCCCTCTGTGTTGCCATCAGTTATAAAGGAGCTTCATTGTCCCAGGGTTCAAAGGTTAACAGGGTCTATCAGAGGCAAAATGGAATACTTTGTAATATTTGGGGTCTCCATGATTGAATGCTTCCTCAAAAGATAGTAAAGGTGCAGCCACTTCTTCCAAGATTGATTATTAAAGTAAAAGTGGTTTTCGTTAATAAAAATGAATAAATAAATAAAAAAATCACATTATGTGTGTTTCCGTCAACACATTGGAGTGTGTGTGCGTAAGTAAGGGGTGATGCATGTGGAGAGGAGGACGAGAATCTTTTTTATATGTGTGAAAATGAGTGTACGAGTGTGTTTTCATCTCTTGTCACTGACACATGCTGGGCTTTTTTTTCCTGCTGGTTGCCAATCACAGCCGCCATCTCTGTCCCGCATATTGCAATCTAATGAAATATACTTTCTGTCTGTAAGCCCTTTCAGGAAGCAGACACATTTTCATTATACCACCACCAAAACATGACATTTGTAGTTGTGACGCCAAAGACGTCTCTAGTCAGAATACCAAATAATATCAGTGTTGCCCTTGACATTGTCTACCAATAAGACAATGCTGTCACTGCTTTTATCATGTTTTCTGCCCCTTTTCATTTTCTCACCCAATCTACTAAATGCATTTTTTCAGTTTTTTCTCTCAACCATTTCTCTCTTAATTTCTGATAGCCAGGGCTTTACAAGTTGTCCAAGCATTGACTGACTACATGAAAATCTTATGGATGATTTTTCATTTTCTTTTTTTCTGTCTTTAACAAGGATCTCCCTCATGAGATGTTTGCATGAACAGATTTGATTTCACCAACTTCTGAATAGACACAAATTATGAATTGTTGCAGAAACTCAACCAAATGTCTCGAGATGTTTGCAAGTAAGAAAAAAAATTACATGTGGTGCCAAACATTCACACGGATTCAATTTATAGTATTTCACTTTTGTCTAATTTTTTTTGGTTGAAATGTGCTCAGAAACATGTCTAAATGTGGACATGTGCTGTCAAAGGCTTCTGTGATCCAGACCCATTGAACAGCCTGGCAGCAGTGTGGAGAGGTTAGCAAGCCTCGCCTATCTAACCAACTAGAGGCCAAAGTCAAGAGAGGAAGTCTGAGTAAGTGTTCTACATAGTAAATCCCACCCCAAAAAGCAAAAGACAGTAAAAACTAAATATTGAATGAGAAACCGAAAACAAAATTAAAATTAAATTAACAAATAGCTTCAACATTACTCACCAAATATACATATAGAAGTGCTCTCATCCTACCATTACTACAAGTTGGGCTTTCAACTCAAGTAGAGAGGTATCCCTGTTTACGTTGGTTATATTATCAAAAGGAAATCAGAAAAGCCATCCAGACATTCATGAACTTATCATTGTTACCCCTAGAAACTCAATTCTTGCTCAGGCTTGGTAGGTATTTCAGCCTGTGTCCGACAGCGTAGCAACGGAGGAGAAAGACAGAGGGTTCCTCCCTAAAGACAGAGGGACAGGAGAGCAGAGTCTCTGTATTTGGACAGAGGCCAGGCAGTGAGGCAGAATCAGGTCACTCTTAGCCATATCCATCTCTCTGCTTCTGTCTGCCTGCCAGGACCAGCACAAAGAGGGCTCTCTTCTGGACTGTGCAGAGGGATCAGCAGATACAGAGTGGAGAGAAAGAGAGGGGGCAGTGGGCGCGCGTGTAAGAGAGAGAGTTGCTCAATGCGATTAGTGGGGACTGAAAGAGATACGCTCTCCAACGCTCTCTGATGTATGGCCTAATCTGGGCTTGTACTGTTCTGAGGGCCCGTTCCATTGGCTACAAGTTCACAAAGTTAATGACACACATTAAACCACAGAGACATGCCGCTCTATGT